AGCAGCGTTATGTTTGGAGAAAGAAAACACTGCATTCCAGCATAAGAACCTTATCCCATCTGTGAAACATGGTGGTGGTAGTATCATGGTTTGGGCCTGTTTTGCTGCATCTGGTCCAGGATGGCTTGCCCTCATTGATGGAACAATGAATTCTGAATAATACCAGCATATTCTGAAGGAAAATGTCAGTACATCTGTCCGAGAACTGAATCGCAAGAGAAAGTGGGTCATGCAGCAAGACAACGACCCCAAGCAAGACCCCACAAGTCTTTCTACCAAAGAATGGTTAAAGAAGAACAAAGTTAATGTTTTGGAATGACTGAGTCAAATTCCGGACCTTAATCCAATTGAAATTTTGTGGAAGGACCTGAAGCAAGCAGTTCATAGGAGGAAACCTACCAACGTCACAGAGTTGAAGTGGTTCTGTACTGAGGTATGGGCTAAGATTCCTACAAACCGTTGTGCAGGACTGATCAGCAGTTACAAGAAACGTTACTTGCAGTTATTGCTGCAAAAGGGGGTCACACCAGATACTGAAAGCAAAGATTCACATACTTTTGCCACTCACAAATATTTAACACCAGATAATTTTTCTCAATAAATAAATGACAAAGTATATATTTTTGTCTCCTTTGTTTGATTGGATTCTCTTTGTCTACTTTCAGGATTTGTGTGAAAATCTAATTATGTTTTGGGTCATATTTATGCAGAAATATAGAAAATTCTAAAGGGTTCACAAACTTTCAAGCAGCACTATATATATATATTTATTAGGGATGTCAAAATTAACGTGTTAACGCAGCGTTAACGCAAACTCATTTTAACGGCACTCATTTTATTAACGTGCGATTAACGCAGCGCGCATTTTCTGTTTGACCCGTGGCCTAACCCATAGTTGGAGAAATGGAGATGCACAATGTTGCCAACTTAGTGACTTTTCAGACCCCTTTAGAGACTTTTTTTCCCCAAAAAAGTGCCTAGCGACAAATCTAGCGGCTTCTTGGACAAACCTTATTTAATTTCTGACACACCAGGTCTTGCTTTCCCAGCACGCACACACACCTCTTTCTCTGCATCTGCTCTGTTCAGCGAGAGGCTGAGATGAGCAGCGCTTTCAGTTAAAACACATATTCTGTTGCTTCTCTAATTTTACATGCAAGTATAGCCGAAATCACAGCACAGCTATTGTCTTCATCTTATGTGTATTTGATTTCATCAGATGATGGCTTGATTATAAATCAGGATTTTTGTGCAGATTAACATCTTTGGAAGGGAGAGCTGGTTATGTAGTCTTAATGGGTCACGTTTCAGTCACTATTTCATATTATTTCCGTTGTCTGACAACAGAAAAAGTTAAATATATCAATGAAAACGGTTTTATTGAGAATTTAGCTGCATCAAAATACAGTATGTGGGCACAGAGAGGCAAACCGATGTAATAATAAATAATAAATGTACAGTATGTTCAGAAGAAGTGAGCTGCCCTGTCCTGCAAATAGTGTAAACAGGCTTGTGTAAGTAAATTTCTAAGTGCAAAGAAAGAGAAGTAATGGGAACCTGGTATTTCTATGTTCTTTTTTCATGTCATCTGTGACCTTTGAAACATGTCTAGTCTTCATGCTCTATGGTTGACTATGGTTTCACTAATAATAAACATACGTACATCTGCATAAAGCATCCATATTTGTCCATGCCCATGTTGATTAGAGTATTAAAAACTTGAAAAGTATTAATTTAAGGTACATTTAGAACAGATAAAAATGTGCGATTAAGTTGCGATTAATCACGAGTTAACTCATGACAATCATGTGATTAATCGCGATTAAATATTTTTAATCGATTGACAGCCTTAATATATATACATACACACACACACACACACACTGTATATTAAGGGTGGGCGGTATGTAGTGTAGTGTCTACAATTAGAGATTTTGCCATTTCTTATATATTAACGCAGTACAGTACACACAAGTTATTAACACGTAAGAGTAAAACCTGAATGAAGAAAGAGTGAAACATGCTGTTTTAAACAGTTATTAAAAGCTGTGAAAAATAACTAGATGTGATGCTCACCTTGACTGACACAGCTGAAGCTCACATACAGAAAGTGTTGCACTGAGAGTCTCAGACAGCATGCGACCTCGAATTTGGGTTGTACATGATTAAATAGACTTGAATACAGTTACTAATACACCTGAAGTGTGTGCACAGTAAGCCGTCTCTCTCAGACAGCATGTGATCATAAATTCAGTATACTGTGGTGCTTGAATAGTCAGTTGCGTCAAAATGCCTGTCATGTGGAGTATTCACATAAACACAGTCAGTTATGTGTTGAATTAACGTAAACAGTAGGGTGAAAACCGGGTATATATTGGGTCCATGCATCCGGTTTTAAAGGCTTATAAACCTGTTGCTGTCTATGTCAAACAATAATAATTAAACAAGAAAGGACGGAGAAAATTACTCACTGCTCTTGACTGAATCAATTTGGGATCTTTAAAGAGAATTTTTTCTAAGAATCAATTCAATCAAACATATAGAAATATATCAGTATTTATCCTGATTGGACTTAGGACTATCCTTTTGGACTAGAAGCCCTATTGGACATAATTTAGTGAAGCTCTGTGACCACAAATAAACTGGAGCAAAAATGATTGAATATGTCCTGTTATTCTATTCAAAATATCAACTACTGCTTAATACAACTACTGATTGATTTGGCTCATTTGACCGGTACTCCTGACAGAAATTACTGTAACTGTTTTTGTCATAAACTGTGGTCAGATATCAAAGCTGGACTCCCAGATCTAAATCTTGCTCAAATGCACTATGTTTGATGCATACAAAATAAACTTTTTCGGCAATTTAACATTTGGTATATCTCTAGTTTTTAATGCCACCGTAACTGGAATTTTGCATCTCTATATTCTGTTCTTTCCTACATTGTAGATAATCTACTTTTTAGTGTCTTATTTAACTTGTGATCAAGTGTATCTGTGTGTGTGTGTGTGTGTGTGTGTGTGTGACAAACAAAACCGATAAAATAGCCATAACATGTTGTAAGTCATCACCTTTTAATTGAAGAGATGCCATTTGAGACAAGAGTACCTGAAATTTTACAACACTTACTCAGATCTTGAAGCTAAAAGGGGCCTTCTTTGTTTTCCCATTACAGCGAGGAGCTCTGTAAAGAAATGGTGGATGGTTTGAGGATAACATTTGACTTTACCCTTCCACTAATCCTACTCTACCCAAGTGAACAAGCTCAGTTCAAAAAAGTCAGCTCCTCCAAGTTCTTCCAGCCAGTCATTGACAGCGCAACCTGCACCAGTAGGTAAGAGAGTAAACAATGAGTAAACTGTACTAAAGACATCAATTTGTTTTGAAATGCCATATTAAACTTAGGAAATAATTTGTTAATTTTTAACTTTTTTTATGGTTTACAAATGTTGTCCTAATACTGTATCGGATCATTGATTTGACTTATTTATACTATGACTTGGGATTGCCATGATTTCAGATCTTCAGTAGCTGATGCAAATGCCTTGAAATGTCACTTTAATCATGCTTCATGGTATGCTACTAGCTAGTACTGTGATACCACTTCTTTTTCGCATGTATTTATATAGTGTTTCATATAGTATATCTACATTATACAGTTTGGTTCTGTTCAGTTTTTGTTTATCCAAAAAGTACTGTCAGATCAATAATCTTGTTGAAATATTAATTGTCCTTTAAGTTCCAACTGCGCAAGCAATCAAACCACAGGCAACAGTGACAAGGAATCTAAACCCCAAACCTAAAGGTGACAGAAAGGAGAAAAAATGGGCCCCCTCTATCACTGCAAACGCAGAGAGAAGTTTGCTACATTTTGATTGTATCTTGGTGGACTAACGTAAACAAGGTAATGCTTAGGCCTGGGCGATAAAACGGTATCGATATTTATCGACGGTACACCTTCGATAACGATAGAAAAAATGTTCGATATAGTGCACGATATAGGCACGTGCTATGAGTGACGCAGACAGCACACACAAACACGAACATATGCTGAAATGAGTGCTGTGCCTGCCTGTGATGAGGAGATTGTGAATAAAGAATGAATATTAGTCGAATTTAAAATAAACAGACGGACAAATATGACTGCTGCACTCACGTCTCACAGAAGAGATGTACAGAAAGCCATGCAAAGTTAAAACAATTTAAACTTTTAGAAAACGTCACGAATTTGTGTAGGTTTATTCCTTTTCACTGCGTCTCATATGTTTTTAAATGCAATCTGTGTGAATGGCGGTTCGGTTCTTTGGATTAAGCAATGCATAAAATACATGATGCTGTTTTGTTTATAATTGTTTATGCAATTTACGAAATTATATTTGATTTTTATGAGTTAATTTTAGACTTAATGCACGTTTTTTTTATACAGTTACTTCCTTGCGTTGACAATTTAAATGCGCTGCATTATTTTGCTCATTGCGCCCTCCTGTAGCCTCGGGAGACGAGACAAAAGTTTCCTTAAGACCTATTTAATCCGCATATAAAACATTAGAAATTAGATATTAAAGGGGTCATATGATGCTTTTTTAAAGATCATTATTTTGTGTATTTGGTGTAACAGAATATGCTTTTAGCTATATCGTCCAGCCCTAGTAAGGCTTCTAGGATAACTAACTGAAGGTAGTTGAAGACCCCTTGTACCAAGCCTGAGAAGGACAGGTGCCATTATAATTTCTGCCCTTTACCCATCTTGAAACTAATCTCTAAGATTTTGGCCTGTGACTGCCATACAAATTCTTTAGGATTTCCTGATGTGGCAGCAGTGCCTGAAACAAATATAGATCATAAAGACCCATCCAAATTCATTCATAACTGTTTGAAAACCTAAAAGTTGATACAAACTACAACACATCCAGTTCATACGTATTTAAAAAAATATGTATTCTCTGTGACAGCTGTTTGTAATACAACCATTTTCACAAATGCAGCTGTTAACACACAAATGAATGCATGACAGTTAAAATCTTCTCCCTTCATGTTTAGAATGTTAAAACAGGTTTTGTGGTGATGGTTTAGCGAGTGAATAATGCAAATGTGAAACTCTACGTACAGTATACTATTCTAACTGTGTGCTTTAGGATTATGCAAATGAGTATGACAGGAGTAAAGAAGTGTGGGCAATGTGAGAAAAAAAAAAACTACTGTGAGCGATTGATTCAGTGATGTCGGGAAAAACATCCAATTAAGATCAATTTGACCTGACATAGGAATGAATGAAATGTTGAAAAACATTTTTATTTGATTTTTTTGAAAAACATAATTTGACACAATCTAGAAAAAAAAATTATATCCATGAAGGGCTGAGACTACAGAATATTCCCAAGGCAAAAAACACTTACAGCGATAAGTGTTAAGTGATGAGACTAGCGATAGCAAGCTAGCTTTGAAAGCACATCAACACCTTCCCTGCATAGTCACTTTGCAAAGCCATGCCTCCTCCAAAACACACATGAATGCACTCAGGCAGATGCTCAGTGAGTAGGGATGGGTATTGTTTAGCAATATCGATACTGATACTGCTTATCGATACCGGTACTTATCAATGCTGTTATCGATACTACTCTATAATTTGGTGATGCTGCATGTCATACCAAACCTCCCATGGCAGGTGTGTCGTCAGCTTGAGATCGGTTTATGAGATCAGCTTCTTCTTGCTGGAATGCGCTGATGGCGTATCATGTCTGCGCAAACAGGGTGCACAGAGGTATGCAAATGCATATTTTGACAGGCAGGCAGGAGAGCCTATCGTAATGTTCGGATCGAACGTTTTGATTGGACAAACATTTTATGGTCTTATGCCTTCCACGGAAGATATAAATACATTTTGGGAAATGGGGGGGGGGGGAGATACAGGAATCAGACCACACACTGGTTTGTAGGGATAACAAGGAGTTCTGTCTTTGCATGCATGAAGCAGAGTCATCTTCAGCTCAATTTTGCAGAGAGGTCTGAAAGGCAGACAGAGATAGGAGCTGAGACATTGGGATCATCAGGTTGAAATGAAAGATAGAGCTGCATATATTATCTGCAGAGTAGTGGTAGGGAAGCCAAAAGCCTTGTGATCAATCCCAGTGATGTGAATGGAGAAAAGACAAGTGAGAACTGAACCTTGAAGCACACCAGTGGTTTTGCTGATGTGATTGACACCCCTCTTTTAAACCCTGAAAGATCTGCGTCTTGTGGTTTATAGTGCCAAACGCTTCAGAATAAGGACAGATGATTTACACTTTGTTCTTTAGCCAACCAAAGAGTTTAAACAATGTCCACAGGTTAGAATAGTATTAATGGATGTTGTAGCAAGCTCCAAATGGGTGGATCTTGAGCTCCAAGTTGGCTGTACAAACCTCAAGAGGCTTTTGATTGATTAATGTTTTGCACTTGTGGGGTGGGGTGGGGTGTTGTATCTGCCTCATATTCCCAGTTGGTGGAGTTTTGTTTTGCTCTGCCAAAAATGGAGATTTTCACTTGAAAAAGTGTCATGCTGAATGATAAAATAGAGTAAGCTTGTTTTACATTTGCATTTTAAAAAGTGCAGGTTTTCCTAGTGACTTCTGCATGAATTTTTTAAAGGTAAATTTTAAAAATATGTTAGTATAAAATTATTATGCTTAACTGTAACTGGGCCTCGTCATTGTTTCAAAATCTACTCTTGTTTTCATTATGGTTATCCAATTTACTTTGCGGATAATGTAATTACAAAACAGAAACACTTCAATGCAATAGTTCTAATGATCAGTAAAATTGTATGCCTTTTCATGTTTGTTGTTCTATAGGTGTTGCATGTTGGGAAAAATAAAATTGCAGTGTGCAAAGAAAAATTCCAGGCGATGTAGTCCATTCTTCACTTGTTTGGAGTGCACATTGATTACAAAAGCTGCACATCTGGTATATTTTGTGTAAATTGTTGGTAAATAAACTGTAGGTTTTTGTGTCTGCATTTAAAAGGAATAGTTCTCATTCCAGGATGACACACAAGTTTTTAATACTAGGGGAAGATCCTCCAACATGTTCTCTCTGCCGAAAACACTTTATCCATGAAGCATGTTTTATTAGATTTTGCTGGTTTTAACTCTGTGAGTCTTTATTCAGTTAACTCGTTTGAAGAGATTCTTAACAGAGTTAAGCCAAATACAATTTTAGAATTTTTAGCAAAAATAAATTGTAAAAACATGAATATTCAGCCATAAAGTTTCTCATCATGAAAATAGCCACAGAAGCTGGCATGGCGTTATACACAAACAAACCAAAGGAATAGTTCATCCAAAAATGAAAATTGTCTTTTACTTACCCTCATGCCATCCCAAATGTCTGTGTCTTCTGCAGAATGCAAACAAAGATTTTTAGAAGAAAACAGTCACCATTTACTTCCAAGTAAACAACAGTTATAATTACCATTCACTTGCATGGTATGGGATATTCTTCTTCTTAAAATCTTTGTGTTCAACAGGAAAAATAAAGTCACAAATAAAGTCATCTGGTATGGAATTGGAGGAGGACAAGAAAGAAAAGAGACTGCACACTTCCTAAACATCCTGCTAACAACATCATAAGACATTAATTATTGGGGAAATCACTCTGATGACTGTCACACAATGCTAATAGATTATAAAACAAATAATCAAAACGAAGATACCAAGATAATTCATATACACAGAATGTGATAAATAATGTCAACACAAAATGGATAAATGCAATGCTGTTGAACTGAATGTAGCAATGTAAGAGAACCATATGGTAGCAAATCTTATGAGGAAAGTATTTGGGGTACATTCACACTATCAGTGTTTGGGATTGACAACCCCATTTACTTAGTGTGTGACTTAAAATGTCCTGTTCACACATTAGACATGGCATGACAAAAGTCTAATCAAGGTGCAAGTTCATCCGTCAGATCTTAATTAATAAGCAGAGTCTCAGAGGGTGCAGAGTCACATTCCAGTAGTCGTTTCCACAATGGCCTGGAGAATGATAAACTTCTTTTATGATAAATTTCTGTTGAATCTATATCTTACTATCACTCTCTGTTGTTTAAAGTGATAAAATATAACTTAACTCCCACCATATTTCTGATATTATCTATCAAACTAATCGGTCCCACTTTATATTGTGTCCCTAATACCTGTGTACTTACATAGTAACTAGATGTGTACATAGTATGTAACCACAGTGTACGTGCACATTGGTACATAGTATCTACAGCTGTAATGTTTGTGTAACTACACATGTAACAACCCACTGAATGGTATGTGTAAATACAAATGTGTAACAGGACATTGG